AGAGTTTCTCACATTATTTTAAGTAGGATACTAAAACTACTCTCAATGTAAAATTAAATGGGTACACAGGTGGAAGCATATTGTTAGGAGAAATTAACTATCAATTTCATTTCCTGAAATAGTGAATGTTGTTAATGTCTTCAGTAACTAGATATTTACTTCATCCTTGGTTGAAACGTTTTGATTTTTTTTGAATGTTCTATGAAGTTTTTCATGTGGCATTGAAACTTTCTATTGTTGAGTGATCCTTTCTTTTTTGTTGCAGAATCAATTGCAAGATCATACTTGTGGCTTTCTTGCAAGTTGTGCAGTTGTTGCCTCAAGCTTGCTGCCTCCCTTTGCCAGAGCTATTGGTAAAACAGGAAGTACTGTCAGTTTCTGAGCTACAAAATATAAGTGTAGAAAAATAATTTAGAAATGTAAGTATAGTATACTAGTACATTGCTAAAGATAAAATCAATACTCAATAACTTCCACATGTTGTTAATGACATCTTTTGCAGATTAATAGGATTCAATCAGTTGTTGCTGGGGTAGTCTACAGCAAATACATGGGCTCTCTTTATTGAAAGTTAACATGCCTTTGCTTCCATGCACTCTTTCTTTTGAGAGGCAATGAAGTGGACCGTCAGATGGAGATCTGACTGTCCATGCTGATAGAAGCTGGCTTTTGAATCTCTCTTCCAAACTTCCAGCTCCAACGGTGTTGGAGCATGCTCCCCCGCCAACCGATCACCTCTGACCGTCTCTGTTGGTGTCGGGTCTGTGTCCGCAATGATGATTTAGAAGAACTGCGTGACCAGGCCCACAGGCTGTCTCCTGCATCACCGCTGCACTTCGCCTAACTGCCCTAGCTCCACTGGACCGATTCCTAAGCCAGGAGCACACCAAAACCTCGGCATTTCTGAAACTTCAGGTGCTTGTAGTTTGATGTTTGCTTTTATTTTATCCACCTTTGCTTCGGATAATATGCCTAATAGGGTAGCTTTGGATGGCTTATTTTCTAGCGACGATGATGGTGGCTGCCGAATGCCGGCTTGAAGATGTGGGCTCCCAACTGCTGTATTTCGTAGCTGACTTGGTGCCCCCCTTTTACATAGCACGTGGCCAACAAGCACCAAAGCATAACTCTAAAGCCTACCGCTTTGAACTTTGCAGCCTCGTATATTCAGAAGTTTTCTTGAGTTATTGTAAACTCTTTACATTGCCTGTTTGGCAAGACATTTGTCAGCGACTACCTTGTTTATTAAGGTGAAACGCCTCTTCTGTAGTGTTTAGCTTGTTGTTTTGAGGACAATTTCCTTGTATTGAACTAATGTGGCAAAATTGTATATCAATTCATCATGTTTCATGAAGTGTAGGTATATGTATGCATATATGTTCGAAATAAATATCTCTGGCCTGTTTGGATGGTGGTGTGAGATTCCTGCTTGGTCCAGGCAGCAACCTCAGGTGCCCGATTTTGTGTCTGTGGCCAGGATCATAACTAGTACCTGGGAGGCCGCCAACCAAACAAGCTACTTCAGACACTGCCAGTGAAAGACAACTGAAGGTTGCAGGGATTGCATGGCCTTTCATTTTCGTCCTATATTATGTATGGAGTTGTACGAAGTTTGATTGGATATATAATTTTTGCTTATGTATGTTTGTCTCATAAGCATTCCAAATTATTCCAAAAGGTCACAAGCGGTGGCCGTTTGGTGCGATTATGGCTTGAGCGGTGAGTGAGGATATCTATTTGGCAATCTAACGGCGTTAAATAATCGGTTTCAGACTTTCAACATAAAACAAATGCTGTACCGTATGGGCAAACCTGTAACTTTCTTCTTCCAAACTGGCTAGTGCCGCTACTCATGGCCTGATTGTATACGAGGGCTAATCACTAGCTAGCTAAAAATTAGCTAGTGCAACCAAACAGAAGGGCTAATAGACGGGCTAATTATTTAGTTAAGTCTTTAACTAGTTATTAACCAACTAGCTAGGCAACCATAGCTAATTTAAGCTAATTCCAGCTAGTAATTAGCTATGGGTATTCAAACAGGCCCTCAGTCACGGATCTAAAAACTTTTGAGTTGAATATTTCCCAAGCTAAAGAATGAAATTTTGAGTTGATATTCCCAAGCTAAAGAACGAGTACTAAGTTAAAAATTAAAGAAAACACACCTTCAAACTATCAAAGCTCCACTGCAGAACCTCTATGAAAGCAAAGCAAGTGCACCTCTGAACTAGAATGTACATGTATATCTCCTATTGTGCCTCGCAAAGTGCGGTGGGAAGTTGGCCTGCAGCTTTTTGTCAAGAGAATTGCATGGAACGAAGCCAACTAGAATATAGACATACTATATATACTTGATACTTTAGTAAAATTGTCCTAGGAATACCTGGCTTATTGTGCACCCCAAAAGTACTACCATCCATTTTCTCCCAACCAAAGTTACAGTTTTAGGCAATAACATGGTTCTCAAAATACAATTTTGACTGCTATTTTACATGATATATTTAAAAATGTAGCAGAAATGTACTAATATATTATGAAGTAGTTTTTAATTAAGGCAAATTGCCAGCATCAATTTTAAATATTCAAACTCATCAATATAGAAAAGTAATTTATAATCAACTTTTGCAGTAGCTGACTAGACATAATCAATTGTCACTATTTGTGACTAAATAAAGAGACCAAACATCTGATCTTGGTCAGACCAATATACATCACATGACATGTGTGTACTACTAACTGCTACTCTCTCCATCTAAGAAAGAACAGAATTCTTAAGAGAAGGCAATCATTAATCCTAAATTTGACTAGATTTATAGAAATAGTATAAACATTTTTATCTTCGAATAGGTTTATTATGAAAATATATTATTTTTCATAATTAATCTAACAATATTTATTAAGCACCATAAATATTAGTAGTTTTTATATATTTCGATAAATTTGAGATTGTTTTACTCCTCAAAAAACTACATTTTCATTCTTTTTAAGATGGAAGGAGTAGTTACCAAGATATAAGTACTTTTTCCTCACCATACCATGAGTTCTGAAGTTGCATTGTTGGTGCCAATCTGCTCCTCTTTTGCTTTTCCGTATCGGTCTATCACAGCTTTCATGCTAGAACTAGAAGAAAATAAAAGTGGAACAAAATGGTGCAGTTAGTGCTTTATTAATTTGTATCTGAATTTGTAAGTAAAGTACCATAGCATACAAACGTATACCAACCTACTTGTATTGACTCTATAATGTTTATTAACACACTCCTTAGTCCTTAATTAGTAATTCTTCAAATAGTTACACACGGAGACTCAATATTGCACGATTCATTCATTAATAGCTCTTCCAATTTATAATCGTCAATAATGATATATATAACCTCTTCTCATTTTACATTGTCAACAGTGATATATAACCTCGTAGTTTTAGATGTGCATACATAGATCGGGCAGTGATTGCTATGATTCTAATAGTGAAGTCACAAAACTAAAACTTTTTTCCAACTGACTTTGCATTGTTCAGATTGCTCTACTAAAAGTAATTTCCTCTAAGCTTGCGTACTGATTTCTATAAAATAGATACTAATTCATTTTATTTGTTTAGATGATGATGAAACAGCAGTTCCATAAGAAAAATCAAAACCTCCCATCTCATGATATATGAGGTTATCAGATTCTCACTAGGACATACTGTATAATTCTTTCTGTCACAATAACATGAACATGAAGCGGAAATATTAATCTCTAGCCTTACGTATAAGAGAACAAAAAACAAAGGAACCCGAGACCACATATATTTCGTTATTAATCGAACTTAATTAGTTGAATAAAGGATCATCTATGTTAATATTTTTTCGCAAAAAATAATAGGGTCCCTCAGCTATTTCTTTAATCTGCTCATACATCTAGAGCTAGCCAACTAGGTATCTACGCTAAACATTGAAACAAGAAGATTAGATACATAGCAAATTAAACAGATCTATTAAAGTTAAACCAAGTCTGATCAGTAGGAAATTTGTAACATATATCTAGGGAGAGACAGAGAAAGATATCTAGAGAGAGAGTCACGTAAATAGGCAAAATGATTCGTACTTGGTGCTGGAGAACTCGTAGAGCCTGCCGGTGCTGGAGAAGATGATGAGGCCAACCTCCGCATCGCAGAGGATGGAGAGCTCCTTTGCCTTCTTCAGCAGCCCGTTCCGCCTCTTAGAGAAGGAAACCTGCCTGCTCGTCAAGTTGTCGATCCTCCTTATCACTATCTTCCCCCTCCTCATGCTTCCTTTTGTGCCTCTCAGATCTAGTCTAGCCGTCTAGCTAGGAACAAAAAGGAGCACAGGAAGAAGCAAGGCGAAGAGATGGCCGGCCGGCCGGGATGATTGATCTGATGGGGAACACGGAAGCTAGCCTAGCTACTTAGCTAGAGGCAGGTTCCTAGCTTCCAATTGTGGTTCACAGCCACAGCTATCTACCAACAAAGAGAGGATGAGAGAAGTGCCGAACTGCCGATTAGGTTTTAGTATGCACGAATTTGAGGATGCAAGTGGCCAAGTGGCTCAAACTAGTAGTCCTTCTCTATACATATTTAGCTTCTCATTGGGGCTACCTGCTTATTAATTATTCTCACTATACTGATGTGATGTACATAAATTACCGTGTTATATTCTGTTGGTAGCACAAATGGAAAGCATCCAAGTGATTGATGTGACCATGTATAGTTGTTTGATTTTTTTTAAAAAAAGAAAATCTTAACTAATAAACTATGTTAGCAAGATTTAGGCCCTGTTTGGGACCGCATTTGCTCAACTTCTGAGTCTAATAAGCAAATAATTCCGCACAAACGCGCTGTGATCTGGGCCTGATCGCGAACGCGTTTCCGCGGTCTCCGGTCGCCCGCAACGTTACTGAAATCGCGAGCTCGACCTCGCTTTTCCGAAATCACGACCGCGTTTCTCTCCATGCCCCTCCTCCCTCCCGACCCCGAGCGGTCCCGTCATCCCGTGCCCGTGCCCGATGCCAATCCTCCCGAACGCGCTCTCTCTCTCGACGCTCGCTCTTCTCCACCGCCGCCGCCTCCCTTCATCCCCCCCGCCGCCTCTCTCCAGCCCGGCCGCGGCCTCCCCTGGGGCAGATCCGCCACCGGCGGTGCCGGATCTGGCGACACGCGAGCGCCCGGCCCATCCGCAAAAAGACCCCACTCCACCGGCCAATCACCCGCCGGCGGGGCTGGACGTCCCCAACCTGAAGAAGCGCGGCGGCGGCACGCGTAGCTGGATCCGCGTCGAGGCCGCCACGGCCTCCGTGCAGACGCTGGAGATCGACAAGGCCACCATGATGCGGCACTACAAGCTCCCGGCCCAGGACCTCCGCCTGCTCGACCCGGTCTTCGTGTACCCATCCACGGTCCTAGGCCGCGAGCGCGCCATCGTCGTCAACCTCGAGCAGATCCGCTGCGTCATCACCGCAGACGAGGTGCTCCTGCTCAACTCCCTCGATAGCTACGTCCTCCAGTACGCCGCCGAGCTCCAGCGCCGCCTCCTCGAGCATGCTGAGGGCGACGAGCTGCCCTTCGAATTCCGCGCCCTCGAGGCCGCATGCTCCTTCCTCGATGCGCAGGTGATCATCAAAACATTGGGACAGTAACTGACTGTGTTTAGCTGCTATCTGGATGACTGGATGAGTTATGTGTGGTTTAGTGTTTTCCATATTTAGTAACTGCCCTTCCGATTTGATAAAAAAAGAGGTATCATCAGCCTCAGGGGTACATAGGTCAATTTACATCCAGGACAGATAATCTACCAGAAATAATCAGGACAGCCAAACACCCAGCTTATTCAGACAGTAGATTCTCTAGATCGTGACTTATCAGATAAGCCTGCTCAACTTATAAGCGAGACTCAGAAACGCTCTCCCAATCAGGGCCTTAACAAATGAAAATAAATCAGCAGAAAAAAAATCATTTTTCAACATATAGATGAGAAAGAGGACATAAAGGAAAGTGGAGATATATAGCACACTTTTCCCCCTCAAATGTTTACTACTGCTCTTTGTACAAGTACTACTAGCACGTAGAGCCATGTCCTTTGGCAGCTTGAGAGGGCTTTGATATATTCTGATTAGTATATATAGTTTATATATGGGAGATGTCGACATCCTATCAACCATCTTACCTCGTACAATGACAAAACCACCCACTTTCATATCTCTCAAAGGTTTTGTTAATCTGTAAGTTTATAATAGTGGTACACTGCGTCCTACACTAATTCTACGCACATCATTGATATATGGTATCTGCCCTGTTTTTTTCCCATTTGCAGTACAAGTTGCCAATAGATGTTTAAGATATGCATGATCGTGGTCTAGGTGAGAGGGAAACATAAATGACGTACCGAGAAAAGTATCATCACGCATCATCTCAACTACGTAGCAATATCCTCTTAGTACAACATATTCTTTGTTCAATAATTGCACTATATGTTTGCAGCCTTGGCAATGTGATGCTTTGAATTGAAAGAACATATCTCAAGGTGCGTGAAATCCTTCACATATATCTCGGCTAATAATAATTAAGTTAGATTTAACTAAATCATCAGTTTCTTAGCATTTTTGTCTTCCAGTTATTTTGAGGAATCGATTCTTAGAAAGGTGACAAAACCTGTGGACGGACCTGGTAATCAAACCTAGGTCAGCTATATATAATATGTGCATTGGACCACTGATGGCCCATCTCGGTGGTTTATTACTTTATTATTATCGTTTGTACCGTCATATGACCCTTAGTGTATCCCAAGTTTTTCTATATATTCTTTTACAACCAAAATGACACATGTCTTTCTCTTCCTCTTCCTCTTCCTCTTCCATTTCATGGGACAAAATTTTAAAAAAGGATTCCTATCGTGTTCATCACGAACTGCAGCCCTTCTAGAATAGCACGTTATATATCAACAAAAACTTGGTAGAAGAAACGGAGAATATATTGGGAATAACACCAACGTAGCAACTAGCATTATACTATTTTATACAAGAATTTATGTGTGGACCATCAACAACCTTCAGCAAAGTATCTTATTTTTCGAATAACATCTTTTGTGTGCTCGAATGTAAGAGAGTGATGCTTACTTCTTCATTAGAATTAGTAGAGAGTTGTACTCTACTCCTTTCAACGATGGTAGACTGGTAGCAACCCGTTCGCTTGCTCGTAAACGATCGTAAATTTCTAGCCGGAAACAGTGTTTTTCTCTCATACCAAACTAGCCAGCAGTAAATAATCCACGATACGATACGGCCTCCCGAACAGGCTGCTAGATCGATTGATGATATCGAATTATCGATGCTTGGCATTAGCGCTAGCTAATTACTACTACTTGTCTACTCCATCGACGGGCCGGCCGGGAGGGCAGCGTGCATCAGTGCATGTTACTTGCATCATGCATGATAAGTTGGCACCTGCAGGGGGAGATCGCTTGGAAACTGAAGGGAGAGATTTGCCCTCGTCGTGGTGCTCCGGAGCTGCGCCTGGTTGGTCGCGCAGACCACGTGGTACGATGGTCCATGCACGGCCAAACGGACCAATGGAGCTGCGGTTTCCTTCTCGATCGCGCCAATCGATCGATCGTGCACGGATCAGCAAAGGGGACCTTCCAAGTTCCGAGGTTCAAACCACTAGTACTTCGCGCCTTTGAGGAAGCAGAGAGAGAGAGAGAGAGAGAGAGAGAGAGAGAGAGAGGGGTCACTTTTGGGCTGGAACGAAAAGTGGCTCGCGTATTTTCCAATATTCCTGTACCAAAGTGGCCGGACAAGTGTCAATCATTGCCGTATGATGAGACAACACCTGTCGAGAAAGGCCTTGGGATGCATAGCGAGCCAACCGCGAACGAGGAGTGTGCGGCTGGGTGGAGAGGCTGCTTTATTCTCTTTGTTATACTCTGGCTGACTGGATCCCATCTCACTACATTCGCCACTTCAAAAGTACTAGTCTCCGCATGCTGCTTGCCTAGGGCAGTCCCAATGCAGACTCCACTCATAGAGTCTAAACTTCAAAGACTCCATCACTAGACTCTATGCTCCCCAATGCAAAGTTCATAATAGTAGTTTCTATAGACAAAAACATTTATTAGGCAGCACAAACCAAGATGATTAGCTATGGCATACTGCATGTGATCCACCCTGTGGCATACAGCAGCCATGCTACATCCATATATCATATAACGATCACAGCAGCAATTGCCTTTCAAAAAAAAAAAGGCCGGCAACTGAAGCTCCCAATTCAAGCACCGGCAAATGAACACAACACATATAGATATAGTACTGTATCGCTTCAATCATTCAAAAGACATGAAACCATACTACATATAGATACAGTACTGCATATTCGATCAACCAGCAACCATGAAGTTTAGATAATAGCTAGGATCGGTCCATTACTGCAAGAATATAAATATAGATAGTAACACTAAAATATATAGATAATCTTGAGTTGTTGCTTCAGACGTCTTCCATCCTTCAGAAAACAGTCCAGCATCCTCCATTTTTAAGCCACCGACCCTCCAGAAAGAAGCCCTCAATAGTTTCATGTCTTCATCATCAACCTAGAAAAATAAGATGAGTTAGTAAATAAAGAACTTTATTATAAGAAAATTAGATAGAGAGTACAATATCAGAACTATTGTAACATAGCCAAAGCAAAGTATCATAGAATATATATAAACTCATTTCTACCTAATTAGTTCGATGGCCAAATTTTTGCCAAATGTGATCAATCAAATCAGATTGTAGTTGCCTGTGAGCATCACGGTCACGAATCTCGGTAGTTCTCTGTAGTACCTCCTCCATCGCAGGATCGTGTGCTTGAGTGATTGTAGATGGCTGAGCAGTAGATGTGGTTCCTTCCTCGTTCAAGTCAAAAGCATCGTCCTCTATATCCTTCTCATCCTCGATTATCATATTGTGGAGGATTATACAAGCTTTCACGACATTCTCAAGATCCCCTTGTTCAAATAGACGTGCTGGCCGACGCAAAATGTGAAAGCGAGATTGTAAAATCCCAAATGCACATTCAACATCTTTTCTTGCCCCCTCTTGCTCTTGTGCAAACAGCTTGTGCTCAGCTGATTGTGGTGCGCGTATGGACTTGACAAAGACAGCCCAATCTGGGTATATTCCATCTGCAAGATAATAAGGTTTGGTATATTCCCTTCCATTCACAAAATACTGCACCTGTGGAGATTCTCCTCTTAACTGATCGATAAACAAATCAGATTGATTCAGCACATTGATGTCATTGTTGGATCCCGCCACTCCAAAGAAAGCATGCCATATCCATCGGTCATGTGAAGCAACGGCTTCAAGAATGATGGTTGGTACACCATGATCACCACGAGTATATTGCCCCTTCCATGCATAGGGACATTTTTCCCAATGCCAATGCATGCAGTCAATACTCCCTATCATGCCAGGAAAACCACGTCGCTCACCTCTCTCCAACAAACGTTGTACATCCTCTACTGTAGGGCGTCTCAAGTACTCTCCACCATATACTGCAATGACACCCTCAACAAACTTTTTCAAACACTCCACACCAGTACTTTCTGCCATCTTCAAGTACTCATCAAGCTGGTCCGCAGAGCCGCCATATGCTAATTGACGGATCGCCACTGTACACTTGTGAATTGGAGAGAACCCAGGACGATTCAGAGCATCATGTCTCAATGTGAAATAATCAGACCACCCACTCAAGGCCTCTACAATCTTCAGAAAGAGGGGTCTCGTCATCCTAAATCTTCTGCGAAACTGTGTTTTGTTGTACACTGGATTTGGAAAGAAGTAGTCATCCAGTACTTGTTGCGCTGCTTGTTCACGAGGCCTGTCCACATATCGCCTAGGACCAGAACGAGATCGTCCACCTTGTATGGCACCAACAACAGACTGCAATCCAGCTACAAGATGATCGCCTAGATCATCCAGAATATCTTGTTCTTGAAGATAGTCATCCATGGAGTCTGAGATCATCAGGGTGAAGCTCCCATCTCCATCCATGGCAAGCAAAGGGCGTCGTGAGCGGTGGGTAGCAGAGAAGGATGGCTATAGGTAAGAAAGGGAAGCGAGTAAAAGAAAGGGAAGCAATGACTATAGGTGCCGTGCACTCTTGGATGGATGTTCACACTTGCATGCACTAGTGGATGGATGTTCACATTTGCATGCACTAATGGATGGCTGTTCACATTTGCATGCACTCTTGATTTGAAAGTTTCAGTTCACACTTGAAAGTTTGATTCACACTAAAACTGATCATAGGAATTAAAATAGCCCTTGAACATAGGAATTAAAATAGCAATGAACATAGGAATTGAAGGGATTTGAGTTACCTTTCACTCCTTAGGAAACAAAGCAAGTCTCGTGCTCTCCGATTGCCAATTTTCTCTCAAACCTTAGCATCTTCACTAAGCTGATCAAGAGGGTGCAAGCAACAATGTGTGTGTAAGTTTCTAGCATTTTACCCTTAGTTTGTTCATGAGCGGCTTCTTTGTTAAGTCTACCGCTTCAATCTTCTTATCACCAAGCTTTCTTTGAATTTCAGCCATCTTTTCTCTGTCTTCCTTGCTCTTCTTGGTTGCTTCAATGAACTTCTCAAACTGTCGACTAAA